AATTAGTCAATTACTTTGAGTAAGAAAAGCCTAAATGATGAAAATTTTGACTTTTGAATCAAAGCTTACATGCATTTATTTAAATGATCTACATATGGGGAAACAAATGTGTATTTAGGTATGTACGCTCCCAAATGTACAAATGGCTTCAGGTTCTCTTAACTCTTTTACTTCTTCCAAAATCAATGCTACACAAAAAAAAAAACTATGCACGATGGTCACAGATCACGATGCGATAGCGGTTTAACCCCTGTGAGCGTGTGTGCCTACCATCCGACGGTGAGCTCCGGAAAGCTATCCTTCATGAAGCTCATCGTTCGGCCTATGCTATGCATCCGGGCGGGTGGGCAGTATGAAGATGTCTTATCACTCGAGTGATTCTGGGTTGCTGCTTAATGGTTCCTGGTGTTATATACCTCTGTTAGTATATTTTGGTTGGGATGAGAATATTATTCACATTGTGTTTTTTTACAGGAGAGCATTGCTACGGAGGACATTCCAACAACAAGATGATATTGAATCCCTTTCAGTGCACACACTTAACACATTGTCTGTCAAACTTCCCCTGATCCTTAAGATATATTGTTGACTTCACCAATAATGTTGTAGGTACTAACATAGATATTTTAGTCCAAAGCTATACCAAAATTCTATGGTCAATTCTATTTAGAAACCACTATATTGTTTCAGAAGAAGAAATGAAGAATAATGCTCAGGTAAGCGGCAGGTGTGCTGCCTGTTGAATACCTAGTTACTCATTGAAGCAAAAGTTGAAAAACTGGGCACATATTACTACAGAGTGGGGACTGGGTGCATTCGAGTCTAGTCAAGTGCAAGCTTGAGCAGTTGAGCTTGAAGCTTCTAAATCACTGGCATAGCCCAAACGGCCAAACCATACCTTTATCCTCATAGCAGTTATACTTTAGGAGCCTTGAATCAGAGTAGTTTGAACAATTATGAAGTGGCAGTGCTATACTTGGTGAAATTGACCAAGCCATTACAAAAACTTAAGGCGAAAACGACAAAGTCAGACCTTTTCATTCAAGGAGTGACACTTGGACTGCACATAACCATCGGCGTCGAAATTATCCGCTTTGAAGATCTTGATATTCTCGTCGAGGTTTGAGATTGCATCCCTACTGCTGGCACTTTCCGGCGTCACTGACGCGTGGTTTCGAGACCGAGAAGACTTGAGAGTGGCCATAACAAACACCAAATCACCCGAGCATAAACCTCGAAGTCTATTGGCGTGATCAAAGAGTATTTAAGAACGAGATAGTTAGAATCAGGCGGTTAGATCTACAGGGTCGAGGGGGCAAAAGGAGAATTCCTGTGGTGGATCATGGGTGAAGGATAGAGAAGTGGGCGGCGGATTGGTGAGAGCGAGGGAGATGGTGTTTGTTGGAGTTGGCAATCTCCAACTCCGCAATTGTTCCGGAATTCTCCGTGTTGACTGTTGCAGCCTGCCGGTGGAAATGCTGCGGTGGTTAACTTCTTAGGACGCATTCTCTTTCTTCTCCGCCATTGACATATCAGACACGATTAATTCATCATACCTGCAGCCTCCAGAATACCTGTATACTATGTAATTCATTTCTAAAAAAAGTGAATAAGAAATAGAGGAATGTGACAGATTTTTTTTGAAAATAATAAAAGATCAGCTTTTATATAAATATATCAAGAATAGATTTAATCATAATCTCTAAGAATGGACATAAAATTAATTATTTTATACAAAGTAACCTGATTCGCTATACACAATCGTTATGTCTCTTTCATACTCTACGGCTCTACGCATCCCAAAACAAGGCAGACAGAAAGTCCCGAACAGACAAAGCTGATCGGGGCACCAAAGCAGCTCCCCACATCAAGGGAGACAAAACGCATCAAAACACTAGGGCCCGTAAAGGGACATCCATAAAACAGAACAAACACGACAACAAAAGAAGAGCAACCAAGTTGGTTCATAATCCTACCAAAAATTTCTGGGAGTGATGTTACCTTCAGTCTAATCGGAGAGAGAGCGATTAGAAGGCAACACTTCTCTTCCCGATTACCCACTCATCATGATTGCACTACCATGTGTGATGCGCTGCCGAGGAATGTGATAGATGAAAATTTTATTCTGTGTTAATCTCCCGATCAAGAATTTCCAAAGCGAAATGATGTCCAGGCACCTCTATTTGATGTGCTTTTGGCTGGAGTTGTTTGATGAAATTTGTGCGTATGTTCATCATTAAATTTGGATTACGTGCATAAAATTTTAGTTTAAAATTCAATCGGGAAGTCAGTCAAATAAATTATTGATAAATATTGCGCATATATATATATATATGAAAAACACAAATTTTTTTCAACAATTTTACCACAATATTTCTTAGTTACTTCAAGAAAATGTGCTATGTAGTATAAACCTACAATGGAAGTAAATTTCTTTAGTATGATTTAATCTTTTTTAGCATGAGATCTTTCGTAACATTAGGAAAAAAAATAGATTGTTCCTAGCTTGCGTCTATGGTTAGTTGTTGCTGCCTTTGAGGTCTTCCAGGTGCGGTTGGTCGCTGGTTGGAACTTTTATTACCGAAAAGGTTTTCAAATTCACATTGTTCAGAGAGATCTTGGTCTCCATTCGGAGGCCTAGCAGAGGAGTTTCAATCAATAGAGTCGAAAACAAACGGTATGTGTTCTCTGTCTCTCATGAAGTGGATTTCAAGCGTGTTATGTAATATGGTCAGTGGTTATATGATTAAAACATTGTAGTTTTGCATGAACTAAAAGTTGATGATCTCCCTTTGAAAGATTCATAAATTATTTCAGAATATGGATTCCATTGCATAATCTGCCAACAGGTGCTAAAGGTGGCCAAAATTATCAGTAAGTCTCTAGGAAGGTTTGTTAAGTTAGATGAACGGCGTGAAGGGCTTATTTGAGAACTCTAGTGTGCCTAGATATAGGGAGATATTTAAAGAAGAATATGAAAGTTCAAAAAGCAAATGACTACTCCCCAATCTTTGTTTTGTGTGTGGTGTTATTGGCCATGCAAATAGGTTCTGCCCTCAGGTCCTAGGACAGCCAAACTCGGAGCAACTCATGGAGTTTGGGCCATAAATGAGAGTAAACATTGGGCAAAGTTGTGAAAGTAAGGTTACCGACTGATTCTAGAGAAAGGAATATGTAGGGTATAATAAAGCGACTGACACGAAAGGATCCCCATTGTTGAGAACTACAGTGAAATCTGCCTTTGTCATCAATGTGGCGAGTCTAGTGTTAATGTGAAGCAAACGGAAGGCGTACAAGTGACGAAACAATAACGGTATCGAGTAGGAGAAGAGTCGGTGGTTGATAGAGTTGGAAAATAATGGCGGTAAAAATGGAGTTGGAGCGAAAATTTTGGATAACACACTCGTGAGGAAACTAACAAGATATTTACGCACTTGGGCACTTTGTTTTAAATATAATTTTTTTCTCAGACAATGTATTTTGTTTGTGTTATTTTTTAGTCATTTTAACCAAAATGTTAGGGAGTGTTTCACTTTATTAGTTTTTTGAACACAAGCAACTTGCATGTTCAATGGTTAGGGATTTTTTGATATATCTATATAAACTTTTTTCACTCAAAAAAGTGTTCTTCATTCTTTAATAGTTACAATAATTTGACTTTCATGTTTGTCATCACACAACTTTAACAGTAGTTATATTTAATTACGTATTTATAAACATTATAAAAAGTTAATATTTTGAAAATTCACATTTATATAAATTTAATAACCTTTTATGCATTATAGTTTGTTATATACTACGTATATATTAGTAGAAAATTGTGGTCACAAAAAGATAAGTGAATAGTACAAAAATCATAATATTCCAACTATTAAAAAACTGAGAAAGTATAGTTTACGATCGTTTTCTTACAAGTTTGCGTCTTTTTTATAGACTTCAACTTGCTATATACTTGTATAAGTTTTGAACAATTCAGTTTTTCGTAAGTTGTTAAACTTAGGGGTGGGCAAAAATACCGAACCGGCATGATACCAAACCGGACCGGTATGGTACCGGACCGATAAACGGGATTTGAAACGGATCTCAAATTTTTTTGTCCCGAACCGGACCGAACCGGTTCCAAACAATATCATGACCGGTTCTCATAAAATGAGAACCGGTACCGGACTGAAGTATGGTTTATTGAATTTGTACTACTATAGTTTATCTAAAATATATTAATTACATCATCCGTCCCAAATTAATTTGCAAAGCCAACATTGTTTTGTCAAAGTAAATGTTAAGTTCTTGATAATTCATACAATTTTTAATAATTAAAATTTACATATTTAGAAACCACATTAAAATCTCTCTAAAGTTGCAAAATCCAAATTAAAATCTACGAAGTACAGAGTACTCCCTCCGTCCCCTTTTAAATGTCCCGTTTTACCATATTGAGATGTCCCTATTTAATTGTCCCATACCTTATTTGGTAAACTTTGTGTGGCTCAAAATCATTCTTACTTTATTCTTACTTTATCAATTAATATCAACCACACAAATTCACTTTTCTTAAAACCTGTGCCACCATCTCCTGTCCCATTTAAAAGGGGACGGAGGGAGTAGTTTTTTTGAAAGGCCAAATTAGAATATAATTAAAAAGTGAAATTCTAATTAAGTGAATAAAAAGAAATTGTTTGACCAAAAAAAGATTGACTTTGCAAATTAATTTGGAACGAAGGTAGTATGATATATGAAAATTGATAAATTGTGTGGATTTTTGGAGGATGGCTAAACTTTAATTTTTTCTTAAACACCTGGAAAAAGTGGCATTGTTTGGTATGACATGGCATGGTACCGTCCCGTTTGAAAATGGACCGTACCGAACGGGTTTGGGTCTAAGACCGAACCGTACCGAACCGTTTCAATAGTAACGGTACGGGTACGGGTTCGGCCAAATATTGGACCGGACCGTGCCCACCCCTAGTTAAACTTTCATGAAAAGGAGAATGATGAACAGAATGATAACGTTTATCGGGGATTCGGGGCTGGGAAGGGAAGGAACTGTTAAACGAAAGTAAAGACAGAGATAATTTAATTGATGAATTAACATGTCTTCATGAATCATGAATGTGTTGACTATAATGAATGGAAGCAAGACTTCAAAAGGAAGATGTCATTCCTGAGCAGTTCCACCTCACAGTTCCCCTTGCTGTGGTGGGCCACCTTTTTGAACGGTCATTCATTTTGAGAAACAAGAATAAGAATTAGACCTGAAAATTTATCAAAGTCATCCTTACCGAAAAGGATCAAACCTAAAGAGATGATATTTCAGCAAGAAAACAGACGAGGTAACTTTTCTGTGAATCAAAAGAACGTTGTAAAGAGCATCAACACCTTGGGCATGTAAAAAAATGAACTCTTGGTTGAAATGCATTTAGATCTCTCGGTATAGAAGTAGCTATCATGCCATTCCTATCATTCTTGCATATTTTTGTTGACTGGTGCACAAGTCCTGAAGCTCTCACAGCCTGGACAATTGTGCAAGCTCTCATGGACGTAGATATCACAGTCCAGGCAGAAGTGTTTTTTGCATTTCGGACAAGCAACACATGGACCGGGTATGTTGCCTGCATCAGAAAAGAAACCAGTTTCATCAGAAAGGTCATGTTTGGGAAGTAAATTTTGGAGGGGAGGGTATGTTGCCTACACCTTTTTGTACACATTTTGTGTACACAGACTTCGTCTAAAAAAGGCATCAGTTATGTGTACAAAATGTGTACAAAAAAGTTGTACACCAAGCAGCTCTTTATTTTAGAATGAAGAAAAATACATATGCAGTGTGCATTGCTAGTAAATATCTGACTTGGACACTGAGATATACTCCGTACAAGATTATCATTTCATAAGACAACTATTTTCTCAAAATGAAATATTACCCTACCCCCCCTTTCCATTCAAATCCAAGCTCCCAAACATACTCTATGCTTCAAATACGTGGGCATATAAATTGTTGCACGTGCAGGCAAACAAATTTGAGGCAATAATAATATCATGGAAAGATATTGTATTATTGTAGCATGCCATTTGTGAAGATATAGCACTAAGCAGTTGTATCAACCAACCGTGCTTCACAAATGAACCATTTTGCAAAGAAGGGGTTGGGACCATACATGCATACACAAAGGAACATGGATCTTTAAGAGCCCCCCCCCCCCCCCCCCCCCCGCACAAGGTTGTGGGTTTATTCATGCTATGGAACAGAGCACTATGTTTTCCATTGTTACCAACTGGGCCAGTGGGCCTGGCACTCTGACAGTGTGTTGCCTAATGCCTATAAAAGTACACTTGATTATTTTCTGAAGTACACATAAGAAATTTTACTTGTTAGGTGGAAGTAATCAATTTTATGTGAATTGTACAAACATTACTACATAGACTTAGTACTATCCACCCCGGGACTAAGTGACTAACCCATATGGATTTTTTACACCATATAGTTAGGCTTTAGAATGGAAAAAATATATAGTAGTAACACACATTCTGAGAAAAAATCAGTTTACATGTCAAGACATCACATATTCATTTAAGACAGATAATACCAGATTAAGAGAAAAGATATGAAGGTAAAGTTACCACATTTTACAAAGTACAATACCAAGAAGCAGATAAACATTTTTTTAAATGGTGATGGCAATAAAAGGTGATGGAAATAACTTGACATACCAGGGTTTATGAGACTCTGCTGGCAACCAAAACATTTTTTTTGTGTCTTTTGCAAATTGTTTCGAACGGAGGGTGATACATCCTCAAATGGAGTAATTGGAAACAAGTGATGGTATGACCTTGCCAAATGTGGAGAAGAAACTAAGGTGAGCCCACAAACACAACATTCTGTAGGTAGTTCACAAACACGTGCTTTACATCTTGGACAGGTGTAGCCTCCACCAACTTTAGCTTCCTTGTGGCAAGAACATATAGAAATTGCGCCTTCTGCCGCTCTTTGGGGAAACCCCATCTTGATCAAATTTGCAACTGCAAATTCTGCTATTGCAGGAGGTGGCGGAGCATGCTCCAGCACCAACTCTTTAATGTGAGCCTATTCGCATATTCAAATTAGATTAAATTAGCTACGAATAACGGCCAGTTTGGGTCAAGGGTTCTCGAAGGGAGATGACTTTGGAAGACATGATATACTACCTCCGTCCCCATATAAACTTCCAATTGCAGGTTACGAAGTTTGACCAGCGATAAAGTTAAATGATCCTTGTGGATACTCGGATTATTTTTAGTAAATAAAATTTACATATTCAGAAACTACATTAAAACCGCTACAAAACCTGCAAAAAAATAATTGAATTTTTATAAAATTTTGATATATAAAGTAAGAGTTTAAGTGTGATTTAAGTTGACCCTCGAAAAACGAAATGGAAGTTTATTTAGGGACGGAGGGAGGATATATTTTGTTAAATATGTCTCTGAAAACGAATAAGATTGGATGTAAAATTATACTTTTCAATTTTAGAAATAATTATCAAGATATAGACTTGACTAATCTTTCGTTGCCTTGATAGCATTCCATCCGAAAACCCTATATGGAAACACATCCCTAAGAAAATATTGCTCATTAGTTAACATTATTTCAACCAAGGCATCATTAAATCATTGAATTTGGCCACTACGCAAAATGTTCATTTAGGAAAAACCTAGAATGATGCCATCAGTTTGATATAGCTCACCTCGTCCAATGCAACATAATACATTCCACCAGTTTCTTGGCAAAGATGCTTGCATATATAGAGTTCAGCCGCGAGGCCAATTAGGGAGCATCGTATTTTCGATTTCTTGCATTTCTGGATGGTTTTCATTATATCCCCAGGGTCGCAAGTATTCAGCGCCGAATATAAAATTAGAACTTCACGATGACCATATGATGGGATTTGACTTAGAAGTTCATGCACAAGTTCTAATCCATTCTGAAGTGAAGCATCACCTGAACACTCCAACTTACCCATCAAAGCTTTAATGTGAGCCTCTGGACTGCCTCCAAGATCTGTTAAACAATGAGCAACCCCATCTTTCAACATTACCAGGCCAATCTGACTCAGGGGGTTCTGATCAAAAAATTCTCTAATAAAAGCTCCCACTTGTCTTGCAACTACAACCATTCTGCTTGGTTTATAGTCTGTTTCGGTAGCTGCCTACATGCCAAAACTTGTGTAAGGAATAATTTCACTTCAAGATTAGAGCGATTCAATGCAATAGTACAATTTGGACTCTGCTTCATTCCTTTCTATTTCTAGGTTTATTTGCTCTTTTTTTTGCATGTAGTGAACTGTGAAAGGCTAAATAGATCCATAAAAGCCTAAAAACAAGAAACGTGTAACTACATTATCACTTATTGGGTGATACTAGATTACTAGAAAATTCAGTTACAGAACCTTCTGTTAGTTTCTCAGAGCTAATCAAATTGCTAATCAGTCAAAATGGTATAGCAGTGAGCTTTAATATGCTGAATTCCCAAATTAGGTCAGAAACTGATGTAGTGCAATATAGACCTATCAAAAGAACTGCATACCCAATGCAGAAGCTCCCACATTGTGGAGATTAGAAGGGAAAACAGGTTATAGAGGCAGTAATCTAAGCTCTCCAGGACACATCAGATACTCAAAATGTTGAAAACAGCTTACTAAGGAGGGGGAGAAGAGGTAATGCTTTTTGGCAATCGACTTGGGCTATATAGTCAACAAATAAATCTTTCAAAATTTGCATACCCGGGAGAAATCAATTACTATGTAGAGATAGCGAATCAGGCCCTTCTGAATGCGAGCGGTACTTGCAGAGCGGAGGCGTCTCCGATACTGAGCATGGTAGAGGTTTTTATTGTCAATAGGACGCAAAAATCCTGATTCATCCTCTTGTAAAGACTCCCATGACCTCTCATCTGCATAGGTCCTCTCCCATGCTTGAAGACCTCTTCCATCGTCGTCGTCTTCATCTTCCTCTTCTTCATTTGTACTAAACCGCCTTTCGGCCCCATTCATTTCTTTCTTCTGCAGAGAAATCTTCTATATCATGCACTCATCATATAAAATGGTCCATATAAACTATTGAAAGATGCCAATTTCGGAAGCCCATTTCAAGGGTTGGGCTTCTAGACTCTTAAAGAGTGCAAATATAATTTGGACATTTTAATTGGACTCGTTTAAGTCCAAGACTAAACTACATCAGACTTAAATAGAGCAGACCAGATCAAACCATAACCATACCAGGATAGACCAAATTAAACCAAATCATACTTTGTCAGTTGTAAAATACACACAGAACGAACATCTATCAAACAAAATTAGACAAAACCAACCCAGACTAAAAAATTTCAATCCAATTAAAAACATCCTTACTTTGAATGGACCATCTTGTAACTTAAATGGTCTCATTTTGAATTCAAATTTAATCAATTCAAATCATTACTTCAGGTATAGCTTTAATGGGCAAGCCTTCCCCTGTTGAATTTTTTTTACAAGAGGCTGCTCCCAAGAATTGAACCCGTGACTTCTTGGCCACCCGCAACACCTTAACCGGTGTGTCCAGGCTTCCCTTTTCGAAAAAAATAAATATGGAAAGTTTCATTGTTACTAATTTCAGCATTTCAGTTTACACCTTTAATTTATCTTGAGTAAATTTTATTCTCTTGTTATTCAAATTTTATGTTACTCCTATTAAAATATACGTAGTATGTATGTATGTATATATATATATGTACACATTATAACACATACATACATACATACATATATATATGTTAATGCTAATTTTATATTTTTCAATAGCAAAACGAGTCTGCTTCATTTTCAGCAAGTTTTATCCATTTTCGGACAATAATATCTAGTTAGACAATAGCATTTGGTTTCGATTCCTTCAACCAGCATGGCTGGAATACTTCCTTTCGAGTTCCAATGTCCTAAAACATGCTTCAACTAGGTCCATTAGCAGGGCCGGTCCTGTCTGTTTCGAGGCCTAGGGGCGGGTAATATATAGTGAGCTTAGTCTTTTAAAAAACTTAAGCAACATTTTTATCTGAACTAACATGCATAGCCAACCCGAAAATGGCTTGGATGTTGTTGTGTCTAAACCAGGGGCGTCTTTAGCATTTCGGAGGCCCTAGACAGAAAAATACTTACTAAGCACAAATGATATGGAAAATGTCATAAATTGAATAAACAACACCATTTGAAAAAACATATTCAAAGTGTACGATATAATTCTTTTGACATTCAAAAGGATAACTTTTTAAAGGCAAACATATGTAAAATACATCACAAACTTGTACTTGTAACACCCTATTGGCTTATTTTTCTTGCCTTTTGAAGTGCAAGATCAATAATAATATCACTGCAAAATCAATTAATAAAAAACCTAAAACTTTTATTCTTCTAAATACAATGACAAATTAAACATATTCACTACTAGTCTACTACCAATACCATCAAATTAGTTATTTCATGTATTTATCAATTATTATCTTATTCATCTAATACATACTTCATATAACAATATACTCCGTACAATGTGTTATATTGTCATTAACTCAATATCAATATAGCGATTTAAGTATTTAATAAAATTAATTTTAATGGTAATTTAGGCTGTAATTTAGCCTTAGCCTTTATAGGCTGGCAGGCTTTACTCACAAGTCACGACAATATGGCAGTATGGAAAATCAGTGATACTCCATTTTGGGGTTACACCTTTATCTACATGTATGATGCATCTCACGATTGGGGAGCAAAATCAATGAAATCGTAGAGAAAGACTGAAAGAGACTCACGACACACAGAGTCAGAGTTGACCGACGGCGGCCGGCGAGGCGATCGGAGTCTTTGGAGAATTGCTGTTCGGTGGTCTGATTTCTGGAAACGCAGAACGTCGTGCGTTCACACGCTAGGTCTTTCTAGCTTCTTCCACAGATGATTGGAGGCGTTGGTACCCTGAAGACTTGAAGCAGTCAACTTCCCCATATCCGCCTCTGGTCTAAACTAACATGCACACTGATAATATTTTGAGACGTTTAAAATAAAGAAAAGACTTGCTCTAAAAAAAAGACTTTTAAATTCGTTAAATCAAACAAGAACCACGGTTGCAAAATAAAATCAGAGAAAATAAAAATATTACTTGATTACATATTCTGCTACATTGTGAAGCGAGATCATCAACAATAGCTTCATAATAAAACTTTTTTAACACATTATGCTCAATGTTTAGTATCACTAATCCATTAAACCTTTTTGAGACATTGTTGACTGCATATAATTATTTTTTTGAATCTTCAACTTTGAAAAACTTCTCCTTTTTCTTTCGCCCATTCGGAATCAAGCATTTTTATTACACCTAGAAATTAACTAATTTGATAAATTTAATTATAATATTTTACCGGAAAAAAAATAACACCAATAGAAAATCCAAATTGAATGGAAAAACAGAAATCACTAATCACTTAAAATCTATGTAGCACGGAAACTCTCGGGAAAGAGTACGTTTCCCGTTTCGGAAACTCTCGGACACTCTTTGGAAACTCTCCAAATAAGCCTTTTTGAGCAAAAGTTGATGTTTCCCGTTTCCCCATGATTTTTGTGTTTCCGTGCAACATAGCTTAAAATTCAACAAGTTAACAATTAATGACAACATCAACAAGTGCAGAAGAAATTAATAGGCAACCATCAACAACTAGATTTAGGAAAATTTGAAAATAATAATCCCAACTATTGACGGTCCGCTAACAATAATCCCAACTATTGATTATTTTTGTATAATCCCAACTATATGGACCGTCCGCCAATAATGGTCCATGACCAGATATTACTTGCTATAACAGGTGAGTTTTTAATAGAAATTAAGCGTAAAAATTAAAAGTTGGAGTTATTTATAGGGATTACTTGATATAAATATTTAGAAACTATAGGAATTTATTTATAATCGATCATGTCAAATCGTTATTGGCGGAAGATCCCTAAAGTTGGGATTATTCTGAAATAATTTATAGTTGGGATTATTATGAACTGACAGCCAATAGTTGGGATTATTACAATCAATTTTTCCCTAAATTTATGAGTATGAACTATGAACTAATCAACATTGAACAGAAAACAAACAACTAATCATTTATTAACACTCGACACACATAAAGTAATTAACTAATCAAATTATTCAAATAATAAACAAAAGACTAAAATAGTTAAAAGAGGAGATGAGGAGTACCGGGTACCAGAAGCTGAGAATGGATGGATGGGCAGAATTGCAGGTCTGCTGTCCACGGTCCACAGAAGGTGAGAAGTTCAAGTGCAGGATGGCCGACTACCGAGCCACCGAGCACCAGAAAGCTAGCAAAAGGGCAGGGTGGCCAACCGACGCTGACTCGATGTGTCGGAGACTTGGCGAGTTAGTGGGTTGACGATCGTCTCTGCTCGGCTGCCCCTCTAGCCCTTCGTAACACTGTTTCGAAGTGGCTGAGGTCCTCAAATTTTTTACTCCAATCTTTCGGTCTTTCTTCAATTTTTGGGCTGTTAGCAATAGTATGTAGTACGAACTACGAAGTATATTACTCTGTCTTTTCCTATTCTTGGGCTGTTGGGCCGTAAGAAAAATATTAAATTGGGACTGAAAATCACAATACTCACACCAATAATCACACTAATTACAAAGATTAAATATTATGCCTATTTTTTTAAAATATCTGCGCCAATACATTTTTTAATCTTTCTTCAAAACTACTCCATATATCTTAGGAAAACATGTGGTAGCTCATTAGCTCATACTGAATACTCCAACATGACAAGGCCAAATTCATTGATGTAAAAGTGACAAGGCATAGTGATAACTTCCGGGTTACACCGAGGTGCTTAGAGTGAAGAGAGACCTATAATATATAGAGAGAAAGATCTTACAATAAGATTTCTAAACTCCTACAACTACCCCCAACTCCTAAGGGGGTATTTGTGGAGGAAATGTGGATTAGGCTTACAAGTCTTGGGCCTGTGAGGCCCGATTACAACAATAGGCCACTAATGAGCTGTTTACATGTATAAGTCATCCACTAAGAGAGATGGCGATGGTCCCGAGGTGCATGGTGCACCTCAGTCTTGCTGAGGGATGTGCCGAGGCGCCCTTCCTTCGAAGGCTTAGTACACAAAGCCCGCCTCTTCCTTGTGAATTGGGCTCTCTAAATGGGGCTTATGTCCATGGTACAACCTTGGACCGTCCAAGTGTCCAAAAGTGTATGGGCCGTGGGTGTGAGCCCATATACTCTATCACATAGGTGATGTGACCACTGCACACACATGACATATGATAAGACAAAAACTATTCTTATCTGGCATATTTCCTTATGAGTACCTTGATCGAGAAATAAGATTGAAAAGTACCTTTCCTTGAGAAAAAGCTTCACGGTATTCCTTCGCTTGAACTTTGTATAAATAAAGTTTGATTATGTATAAGCCGAGATAACCTTCTTGGTCATCACAATTTCATTTTATTTCTAATTATGAATATTAATTTGTGTCCATTTTCTAATTTTATTTTTATGATACAAAATACATTTTGATCGAGATACTTATTATATGCATTATTTATGTCATCGATTGTTCCAAAACTGTAAATCATGACCCCAAGGCCACCTATTCTAACTTGGCAAAGCATATGAGGTTATTAATCATTATAACTCAGCTAAACAATGAAATTATAGTATTGCCCATTACGCACAGGGAGTCTCTAACTTTGAGAGATTCCTCCCACACTACTATCGGCAGGATTCGGTCTTGGGTAATATAAATCATAATAATGGTTTCATAGTGAGATCCTTTCCAAATAAAAAGTCATTCCTCCAAATTCAACAAATCAATTATTAGAGCATCTCCGCTAAGCTTTTAATATTAATAAAATTGTGACACGTGGCACAAAATGTATGAAATGTGATATCACATAGGATGCATGTGAAAACCTGAGAAACTAAAATGCTGCGGTGGTACACATGCATATTGGCGACAATGGTTTGTTTCATATACATGTGCCAATTATTTAATTGAAATCAATGAAAGTAATTGAAAATAAAAAGTCCTCAACTGGAAAGTATAAAAATTACCCATGTTTTACCCACAAAGAGTCTTAGTTTGTTGACTCGGCTAGTGTGACTGCTTTCTGGTTTGAGAAAGTGGGTTTGGTTATTTTTTGCACATCAGCACAATGTTGATCAACGAAAGAACCCATTGCACCCATTGCAGGGCAAAAAAATCAAACACTTTGTCACTTCCTGATGTGACAAGATTTTTCTCATGTTAAAAGTGTAGCATTGAAAATGTTCTTAGATCGAATGATCCCGCAAAGAGTAAGAAAAACTATGACCATTAATATCCAATTCTTTCTCCGAGAAATTAAAATATGAAAAAATTGGGCACAAATTGGAAACTTGACAATGCTTTTGTGGGGTTGACATAGGCCTGTCAATGGGTCGGGTCTAGACCCGGACCCGACTCGGACCCGATTATTTTTAACGGGTATGAGTCTATATTTTATTCCGTTTACCCGGACCCGGATCCGGACCCGTTAGTATATTTAACAAACGGGTCGGGTACGGTACATATGATTCCGACCCGTTAAGAATCCGGACCCGTTTAAAATTTCTTATTTGTATACAAACACTCTAATACATAAAGTAATTAATTATAACACTTCAAGTAAAAAATTACAAACGATACACACACACATATACATAATAATAATAATAATAATAATAATAATAATAATAATAATAATAATAATAATAATAATAATAATAATAATAATAATAATAATAATAATAATAATAATAATAATAATAATAATAATAATAATAATAATAATAATAATAATAATAATAATAATAATAATAATAATAATAATAATAATAATAATAATAATAATAATAATAATAATAATAATAATAATAATAATAATAATAATAATAATAATAATAATAATAATAATAATAATAATAATAATAATAATAATAATAATAATAATAATAATAATAATACATAAAATTATTAGTTCTAATTCTTCAATTGAAAATACACACACTAATACATACCTATTAGTGTGTGTATTAAATTAATACCCATTTTGACCGTTTATTCATAGTGATAAATGTGTATTATTAATATTATTATATCATTATCATACACTCCACACAATATGTTTTTATACTCTCAATAGTCCAAGACATTTTTTGTGACTTAATTTGAAGTTTATGCTATGAGCTCTATGTACGAGAAAAAGCGACACAGATTGTTAAGTTATACGCAAGAACCAATACTTTATTGGATAAAAGTAATAACATGATAAACCTTGATTTTTTTTAAAAAGTAGGGATATATTTTGCTTTTTAGTTTGCACACTTTTCTTTACATTTCACATTGAGGTCTTGTTATTTTCACAAAATTTATAGCGGTATCATACTCGGCGGGTCTACCCGACCCGGTTCCGAGACCCGCTGGGTCTGGGTCCGGGTCCAAATTTTCAGACCCGCCGGATAAACGGGTCGGGTCTGAGTCCATTATTAACTTAGCGGGTCCGGGTCTGGAACACTACGTTCCGGCCCGGACCCAACCCATTGACAGGCCTAGGTTGACACCACAAAAGACCAAAACCAATCTAACTGTAGGTAGTTCAGTCTCGGGGTTTACTTTGCTTCAAAACCATAAGAAACCTAACAGAACCAAAACTACACCCAAATTACTCGGCTTGGGTTTTGATATGACATTTAAAAAAAAAACCGACCTGAATTCAACCGACCTGATCCTCACCTCCAACACCCCTACCAAAGATAATCTGGTCTAAATCAAAGGCCTTTTGCTTTGACTGGTTCTCTGTTTCCAAAAGGCCGAATAAAAAGGAAAAAATGTAAACAAAGAAGTTTGATCTAGAACGCCATATCAAGAGCCATGGCCGGAAAATCAAATCAGAAGAACTTTACTTGCAGTAATAGGATCAGGCCGATCAGCGAGCTTACAGCGCGAGCAGAAAGCATGGCTGATGCACAAAGTTAAAACGGCATATAAAATGATAGTAGCAGTATGGTGTGGTTATATTATTTGTCACTCACAAACCTCGATGGGCAGTAGAAGACATAAACACAATAAAAACAACAAATCCCTATTAAAATGACAATACCATTAATTAACAACAAAAGAACAGTATCTGTCAACAAATCCGAGTGAAGAGGAATTCCAGATTTGCAACATGAAGACATAATATCGAAGTTCTACCGTTTCTTCAGCCTTCTATTTATTAAAAAAGTGCTCCAAACATAGTGAAAGGTTACATGGCAGTGCAAAAGATCCCAAACACGGCCATAAGTGATGTGATCAGCCTCATTCAGGGGTATCTGAACGGACGGCTGTTAAAGTAAAAACCAAGAGAAGTATATTAGTACCAGGGGTGCTGAAAAATTAGCAAGAAACACACATATAACAATCTTATGAATTCCAAATCTCTACAACCATCAAAGACAAACAAGCAAAGGTATGCAGCTAAACCCAATAAAGATTTTATTTGACGATTCCTGATATGATTCACGATTGAGAAGAATAAGATACTATCAAGAAACTTCTTGAGAAGATCTAATACGGAAAAAATAGAAGACATATGAAGAGGAGGAGAAGATTAATATAGAAAGTTATGTAAGCAAATTGTCTGCACTTTCACATTGAAGGCCTTCAGATACATTCTAGAAATACTTAACAAACAATGGGGCCTTCACACTCAACAAGATCAGTCTTTGAATAGGACATAGCAAAACCCTAAGGTGGCATGATGGACTTTCAATGGGAAAAAAATACCTATAACTAAATAACTACTCCCTCCGTCCCATTTTGGATGTCCTACTTTCCTTTTTTGGTTGTCCCAAAATGAATGTCTTGTTTCCTTTTTTGGCAAGAAATATGTGATTTTTATCATTTCACTTTATTCTACTCAAATCTCAACCACAACTTTTACTTTTCAACTACTTTATTAATAAGTGTGCCAAATTGAAAGTGGACAACCAATATGGGACGGAGGTAGTAATACTTTTCCATCATTTGCAATGGTTTTCCATCATTTGCAATGGAGACAAAGATTCATTATTTTTGTTATTTTTTGGCCTATAAAATATGATGGAATAAAGCAAAATGGCTCACAAAACTGTTTGCGTTTCTTTGTTATGAAGCAGCAGTCAGTCAATGCAATCTTCGACGCGATTTTCAACATGGGTCATCCGGAAACAATCACCCTATGCTTTAGTACAGGGGTAAGGTTGCATACATCCGACCCCCCTTACCCCACCGTAGGTGGGAGCCTTTGCGGCACTGGGGTAATGATGATGATGATTAACTAAATAACTAATACAAGTAAGCCACATGAGGAAGCCATACATCTATATATTTAAGATAAAATTGTACTCACAATTGAATTAGCAGCTAGTCAGCTACAGGAGTTTTTCCATAAAGTTCCACATTATCATAAATGAGAAAGTTTTAAGTCAGCATAACAACC